CATCTTCATCACCTTGGTGGGCGCTGCAGCAAGGAGTCCCCAGCCGGGGAGAGCCACACCAAGAAGCTTCAAGGCAGGGTTGGGCATGGCGGCCTAAGCTAGAGCAGCCATAGCAGCTTTGGGTTGTCCTTTGGGCATCTGGGCACGGCCTAGTAGTCCGCCATAGCCTCGGCCTATGAGACTGAAGAGTGGGAGAGGCGGCCATGGCTATGGTGGACCTTGAGTGACACCTGCAGTAGAAGAGGGACTCGGACATTGATTCTGGACCAGTCATTCAACATTGTATTATCATTTATTGTATGAACAAGGGAAGAGGGAGATAAGGAGGAGGAGGTTGTTGGGCGAAGAAGAAGAGCCTTGACATTGTCTTTGTTGGTGTACATCTTCTTCATCTTCTTTCTTACTTCTTCTTCTTCTTCTAATCCTCTCTCTCCTCTCAAGTTCATTCATTTCTTTCTGCAATTGGATGGCATTGTACTTGGCCAGGGTCATAACATTGGTATTGGAGCGGATTCTACTTGCTAGTGAGAGTTGACTCTGCTGCCCTAACCCTAACCTAAGTGGTTGAGGGCAACACTTAGGGTTAGGGTTGGWTGGTTGAGGGAAGTGGGGCAGCGTGGYTRAGGGAAGCTGCCCCCACCTGGTTAGGTCATGTGGGGTCAACATAGAACCTAACCAGGTTGCTTGAGAGTGAGATTAGGGTGGCGAGACATTTCGAGGAGACTTCATGTGGCGATTTGAGAGAGGTGACAGTGAGAGGCACTCGCACCTGGAATCTGATTCAAGGGAAACACTTGGCAACTTAAGGGCTGCCCTCAAGTAGGCGAGCTTGAGGGTCAGCGGCCACTCAGCATCTACGGACTGCAAGTTGCTACTTTGATCTTCAGCATCGACGGGGGATCCAGCGTCGTTGCACTTTGGTGTTGGAGTCAGACCCTCCTAGGAGATAGGACACTAGTGTAGGGGTAGCGTTAGAGGGGTCAGGAGGACCACATGAGAGGGGGGGTGAGTTCTATTCATCTCAAAGCTCAAGGCCACTCAGGTAAGTGTCGTGCACCTACGGGATTCCCATGTATGTGTGTATGGTATTGATTGTCCTGCTGGGGTACTCTGGGTTTCCTTTCCTACTCCTCTGTGGTCTTGATTGTGTAACTGAATGCATGTGATCTACCTACTCACCTGATGGATGGAAAATGAAGTATCTTGACCTACATGCCGAGTCTTTCTACAGTGCTTCATCTTTGCATCTCTGAACGGTTGTAGTCTGTAGGTTCTGCCAGAAGTTGAAATTTCGTTTTTCAGTGCAGTAGAGACTGAACTAAGTTTAGGTGGAACTCCTCTTGGTTGGGACCTGGTTGAGACCTACGTGGGACCCTTGGGACCAAGCGGGACCCTTGGGACCCAGCGGGACTGGGCCCAAACAAGAAGAGCCTCTAGACCCAAATCGGTTAGGCACTGACCTCTTGTCTTCTTGGCTGGGATACGAGTTCATTCTTCTTGGATTAGGACACCCACTGCCGAGGGGATCTTGGCTGAGACGTTTGGCATGTCTTTTGGATTGCACCATCTGTGGCTTGACTCGCACTCTGTACACCACTCAATTCTCCCTTGTTGCACTTAGTCACTCGTTGTCTGATTTGTTGAACGGACATGGAGCTGGTCAGACTGGACTCGAGAGGACCTCGTATGCAGTCTGATTAGACTGGGTCGCTGGATCAGACCTCTCATTGAGTTTGTTTGTTTCTTTTGATTCTGCTGCTCTCTACTTCCAAATGAAATGCCGCTCCAGCTAGGAGTTCTATCTTCTCTTCTCTGAGTTTTCAAGTTTGTCTTTCTGAGTTCATTTCCGATGCCCGTGGAGACTCGCAATCAGAACGAAGAGAGGCAGAAGGAGACAGAGAGAAAAGGGAGAGAGGGAAAGTGACCGTCTGAAGTGGGCAAGGACTGGGAAAGGGAGTGTTCGTCCCAGTGAGAAGGGGAGTGAACCTCTTGAGAGTCTAATTGATTATTTTGCTGACTGGCGACTCTCTAACCCACCTGTCCATACTGACAGTCCAAAAATGGCTCAGCTAACCTCAATACAATGGCGGGCCTTGTTAGATGCGGCCAGTGATGCCGAGAAACCATATCTACAAGCACTTTTAGATAGTGCAATTAAAAGGGAATAGGAGGCAGAGAAGGAGAGGAAGGAGACCTTGTTGAAAAGGCAAGTGGCCATCCTAAAGACTGTTCCCTCACTGACTGAAGAGCAGTGTGGGGAACAGTTGCAGTCCATACTCACAACCCTTGTTCAAGTCAAGAATCTTGAGGATCATACCACTCAGATCGCTGAAGTCTTTGCAAAGTTGCAGACACTTCAAGATAATCTGACTGATATGACCCGCAAGTACCATGAATTGACAAAGGAGGTGGCTAAGGTGCGACAAGCCCAAGTGGCCAACCCTCTTCCTCTACCCCCTGGATCTGAAGCTGCAATTGAAACTACCTCTGCCCCTCTCACCGTATCTGCTTCTACCTCTTCTTCGAGTGTGATGGCAAGCCCCTCGGGACCTGCGGCAGGTGTAGATTCCGCTGCTGTTGTGATCAGCAGTAAGGCAGGGAATTCTGCAACTGCTGCAGCCCCAAGATCGGAACCAACTGTTGTTGGTCCCAGCTACGCCGGTCCCTATGTGGACCGAAAGGCGGTACAAATGTCGTCTAAGTACGACGGCTGGATCGGCTCCATGAGGGCCTACTTTGAGATTCTGGGGACTCAACCTGAGACCCAGGCAGTGATCATGGGAATGAATGTCGAGCCAGTCGTACGGGGCTTCCTAGAAGTCCAAGCGACGCGGGCTGGGTTCCAAAAGGCTGCACTAGCCAAATGGCTTAGGACCACCCCGGTTGCCTTCCTCGAGGATCTCCTTATCTCACAATATCAGGATCCACATGCTGCGGCTAGGGCAAGAATCCAATTTGACAAAGTCAAGTGCAGCAAGTGGACAGGCTCCATAAAAAGCCTGCAAACCTATCTTAGCAAGATGTTTGCTACTCCTGGTTTGGAATTGACTGCTTGGTCTTGCTTAGATGTGGTTAAGGGCGCGGTTGCAACTAACTTCACTAATCGCCTGGGCAGGGACTACATTGCATACACTGACTGGCTCACCTTAATGAAGGACATAGTCAGTTTGGAGGCTGTAGACCTCATTAGCACGGCAGGCAGCAAAAAGCCCATGGGCGGCAGACGGTTCAAGGGCAGCAACCGTTTTGTTGTGCATGACCTGCTGGAGGCCGAAGAAGAAGCCGATGCGGATGACCCCACTCTTGGTGACGACCAAGAAAAGGACTCCGATACAGCTTGTTCTTCAGCCCATGAGTCCGAGTCAAATAAAGAAGAAGAAAAAGTTTCTGCCTTTAAAAAGACTGCCAGCACCAAGGGACTGAATCAGAGTGCCGGGAAGACTTATGTCCAACTTCCCAAGGGAGTCAAGATCCCGCCTAAACCGGAGGATGCGTCTACCAAACCTTGGGTTGACCTCCGGATCACTGAGAATGACTGGCGGGGCAGACTCAAGAAAGGGGTTTGCCTGCACTGCCAAAAACCAAACCATAAGGTTCAGGACTGTTATAGGCTGCAGGGAAACCAGAATCGGGCGTAGAGTTAGTTTCAGCAAACTCTACAACAGGGGAGTCTGGTTCTGTTGAAAATCAGCAGCCCTCCCTTGAAGCCCAACCATCTGCTGAAGACAAGGCTGAGGTAAGTAATGTCTTGTATGTCGAGCCTTGGGAGGAGTCTGAGATGGTCGACTTCCACTACCACTTGGAGCATTGGGCTGAGATGAAATAGCAGCGTGCCCAAGGGACAGTGAAGTTGATCTTCTTTAAACTTCTCATAAACCATCGCTATCTCCGTGTGTTGGTTGACTGTGGTGCTACAGCTAACTTCATGTCACCGCATGGGATACGCAAGGTGGGCTTGGGCATGAAGCAAGTGGCCTTGCAGAACCCTTGTCGAACCCAAGTTGGCAACAAGGAAGTTGTCTCTTCCACGCATGCAGTCAAAGGTGTGCGCACTACCTTTGACAAAGGCAAGACTGTCACCCACGCATTGAACTTCTTTGTCCTCGACAAGTGCCCCTTCGACGCTGTCCTTGGCTTGGGCTGGCTGCAGTCCCAATGCGAATGGACCAAGTGGAAGGAGTCACTCTTCATGGTCAAAGATGCTCAGGGGAACGAGCTTCCTGTCCTCTTGGATGAGAAGAACGAATCCCCAGTGACCTTTCTGAATGTTATGCAGTTCTGCAAGAAATGGTGCAAGCACAAGGAGGAAGAACAGTTGTATGTTGCCTTTGTTCGTCCTACCCATGTGCCATCTACTTTTGCGGCTAATACCACTACTACTTCGATTAGTGATCCTACTTCTAGTACTTCTACTTCTAGCACCTCTATCGCTCTACCCTCTGCTGGTCCGAATGATTCTACTTCAGATTCGGTCGTCTCTATTCGCGACTTGCGACCGGATCTAGGCGACCCCTTTGCTGATCCCCCACCCCCACCGGTCCCACCAGACGAACAGATTGGCCGGTTTGTGGTAGTGTACCTGGATGATATTATGATCTTCAGCAAGTCCATGGAGGAACACCTCAAGCATCTTGAGGAGGTGCTCGCTATCCTCAAGAAGACGCAACTCCATCTCAATTTGGAGAAACCCGAGTTTGGGAAGGATAGCGTCATCTATCTTGGGCATTGGTTGTCTGCTGCAGGCCTAGAGCCTGAGGCAACCAAGATTGAGGTCATACGCGATTGGCCTCAGCCTGCGAACATTCGCAAATTGCGTTCTTTCCTTGGTCTCACATCGTATTATCGGAAGTTTGTACCCCGTTTTTCTATCATTGCTCGTCCATTGTCGCGACTAACCAGTAAAAATGTGCCTTATTCCTGGGATGTTGCGTGTACGGAAGCTTTTCGAGCTCTCAAGGAAGCTTTGGTAAGTTACCCAGTACTCCGCATTGCAGATCCCAAACCGACGTTTGTAGTCACTACGGATGCGATCCAGTACGGAATCAGCGCAGTGCTGCAGCAAGACGACGGCGATGGCTTGCGGCCACTCGAGTACTACAGCAAACGCATGCCCAACGTAAAGGTAGCCACTTCCACCTACATGCGCGAGCTCTATGCTTTGCGTATGGCGTTGGACCACTGGAAACACTATCTTTTGGGACGCCACTTCAAAGTCTTTTCAGATCATGAGACTTTGAAATGTATCAAACAGCAAACTACCCTGTCCCCTACCTTGCTTCGCTGGTTCCATGAGATTGACATCTTCGATTTTGAATTAAGACACAAAAAGGGTTGTTATAATCGAGTCGCTGACGCATTGTCTCGCCACCCTGAGTACATGACTTGCCTTGTGAAATCCTACGACCTCCGGAAGAAACTGAAGGAGGAGCTCGTAGAGCAGACAGCCAAGGATCCGGAACTTAGTTCCATCCTTGAGCGACTCCGGGCTGATCCTAGTAGTCAGCCTGATTTTCATGAGTATGGAGGACTGATTTTTCGTCGCTACGGGAACCGCGACCGTTTGTGTGTGCCCAACCATGAGCCTCTCCGCACACACTTTTTGGATGTGGCTCATGGCCGGAGCGGACACTTCGGCATGGCAAAAACGTACACAAATTTGCTGAGACAGTTTGATTGGCCTGGCATGAAAGGTACTGCTGAAAAGTTTGTGGCTGAATGTCAAGTCTGTCAACGAATCAAACCATGTAGACAAAAGTCGATGGGGCTACTCACACCCCTACCCATTCCCGATGGTCCCTGGGAGTCTGTCTCCATCGACTTCACCGACATGGGAAAGGTAAGTAAGAACGGCTACTCACAGGTCATGGTGATTGTTGACCGATTCTCTAAGTTCCTCAATCTGATCCCTTTGCCGCCCCATGCCCCAACAAAACTAGTGATTCGTGAATTCCAACAAAAGTACATTCTGCAGTTCGGAACACCGAAGACTCTTGTGAGCGATCGGGATCCGCGCTTCATTAGTACTAAGTGGAAGGACTTCACGTCTCAACTGGGGATCAAACTGTGTTTGACACCCCGAAGCCAACGGTTTGGCTGAGGAGATCAACCAGACTGTGTTCCAACTACTTCGCGCTTTGATTATCCCGGATCAGGAAACATGGGATGAAAAGCTGTATTCCGTTAAGGGGTTATACAACAGCTCCGTCCACTCCGCCACCGACATGACACCCAACATGCTGCATTACGGTTGGCAGATCCGGAATCCGCTCTCTTACCTATTCCCTGAGCAGCCAGCTGGTTTAACACCTGGCAGGCCTGGCTTCAGGGCCAAGTATGATCGCTTGCTCAAAGTTGCCATTGCAGCTATGACCAAGCGACAACACGCCATGATCCATCATGCGAACAAGAAGCGCAGACCGTCAGATATTGAGGTAGGAAGCTATGTCTGGGTCAAGATGTCTGAATTCTCAGAAGAAGAGGGAGTCTCACGCAAACTCCTCCCTCTCTATTATGGGCCCTGGGAAATTTTGGATGTGATTGGTGAAGATGACTTTGGCCTTTCGTACGTTGTAGACGTGCCAGCTCACCTGCGCACATATCCCGTGTTCCATGCATCTAAATTGTATCTCCATAGTGATGCCAAGACATTCGACTACCGCGAAGATATGATCCCTCGCACAATCAAGGGCGGGCATGAGATAGATAGAATCAAACAGCATGTCGTTAAGGGGAGAAACAGACAGTACCAGGTTCATTTTATGTATCACCCATTAGACGATCTGTACTGGATCTCCAAACAGGAACTGCTACGCAGCGCACCACGCGTTGTTAAAGCCTACGAGCGACAAATCGCTGCTAACGTCGCACCAAAGATCTCAGCAAGGCTCACTGCGACAGAGTATTCCAGAATGAGTTACTTGCTCGAAGGGACCTCGCTCTTGAGGAGGGGGTAGTGTGATAACCCGTCCAAACATGGACTGAAACACACAGCTGATTTCTGAGTTTTGCTCATAGACTGAATGCCCTACTGAGTTCCCGCCTGCTAAGTCTGTGTGTGTGTGTGCTTGCTGGACTGCATGTCTGTCTGAGTGCTGGTTGGCTTGCTTGCTTGACTGTGCCTGTTTGAGTGCTGGTCGGTATGAGTGTGTGTGCGTGGCCCGCCAGGGCACTTGTTCGTTCGTTGGGCCCTCAGGGCCGGTACTTACCTATGGCCGTGGCTTTGAAGGGTTGCAGTGGGGAAAAAGCACTCAAGTAGTGGGTAGGCCGGTACCGCACCCGGAAGGGGGGTAAATATGCAAGTACCGGAGGCCGAGCAGAAGGAGACAAAAGTGGCATTTTTATAGGCCGGTAGTGTAGGCTAGGTCTAGCGGGTACCAGTCTGAGTCTAGGGCCTGTAGGGGCAATATCAGAGTCTGCAATGATGTTTCCCTCCAAAAGAGGAGGAGGTACCGGTTGCTTGGGAAGGCCAGCAGCCTGGAAGTCACCGCCCAAGAGGCAAAGCAGGCCGCTATATCTTCAGGCCGGGCGGAAGACCCGGCCTCTTTTTCGGTGTGCAAGTTTGGCAAC